TCTGTGTGTCTGTCTCTGTGTGTGTGGGTCTGTCTCTCTGTGTGTCTGTCTCTCTGTGTGTGTGTCTGTCTGTGTCTGTCTCTCTGTGTGTGTTACCTCTAACAGTCCTTTTCCTGTCAGCTGAAACACTCCGGTCTTCTGGGAAGTTTCCAGGTGAGACTTTAGCGCGGTGTTCCCCATGTGTACGTCAGGTGTGTTTCTACCTGTGTTCGAGTCCCTCAGGTGAGATGCTCCTCACTTCATATCCAGACCGGATGTTGACGGTGTCAGTCAGCTGACGGATTTAACGGAGATTTCAGTCGGTGACTATGCTAACGGCTATTTGCGATAGCTCGTCCTCTCTACACAGCTGGGTCCTTCCACACGAACACAGAGACGCTGCTGCTTCTGTTCGAGTCCCACACTTCAACTAACGCAGCAGTAACGTTAGCCTGCTAGCTACCCACCGCACAGGAAACCGGGCGATTAGCATAAAGACGAACGTTAGTTAAAGTAAAGCTGTTTGACTCAGACTCTGCACATCTACAAGTCCACTGGTCCACTGGTCCACTGTGGACACGCCCTGACTCACTGAGTTCATCAGCTTTACTCTTTACGCAGATAACGTCACTTCCTTAAGACGTGTTTGCGGGACAGATGTAGTTCCCTTCCTGCCCTGAGGGGGGCGATGTCGAAGAAGAAAAAGCGGAAACAGAAGAAGAAGAAACCGAAAAAGAAGAGGGAACAGAAGAAGAAGAAACAGAAAAAGAAGGAAGAGAAAAGGCGTAAGAGATAAAGTGTGTGTGTGTGTGTGTGTGTGTGTGTGTGTGTGTGTGTGTGTGTGTGTGTGTGCGGGTGAGTGATTGAGAGAGAGAGAGTGTGAGTGAGTGAGAGAGTGTGTGTGTGTGTGTCAGTCAGTACAATCGGTCATTTTCATAATTGATTTTAATGCATTGAATTTATTAGTTTGTCTCTTTTCTTTGTCGCTCAGATGCATCAGTGGGATTTGTCTCTGTTCTCAGTGACTCCAGCTGCCAACCTGTTGTCCAGATGTGTCTCGAGAGGAGCCATGTCTCAGGTGAGGATGCAGACGCTGTGTCTCAGCTAATGACACATCCTGCAGAGGACTCACTCTACACATCTGCCTCCTCCACCAAAGTATGAAAGCTATGGACGAATACGTTCCTTGGTTGAAAATATGTTTTGTGTAATGATAGCTGTTTGGTCCAATACAGTTGGTAAGTTAAGCGCTATGAATCCTGGAATATATCAGGAAAGATCCACCTGGTGCAGCCTCTGTGACTCAATCAGTGAGAATACAGGAGGAGCATTGGCACAGCTACTGTCACTGAGGGTCACTCTGCTGATGTGTTGGTGTGAACATGAAGAGTCACAAACAACATGTCGTCAGCACGTCAACGCATTTCTGCAATTTAACTTAATGAAGATAATTAACAGTCATGTGACCAAACTGTCCTGGTCAACGTCCAGGGGGTTACAGGTCGTTCCTGAGATATTCTGGTGTCTCTTTAGTTGGTGGACACAAGCATTTGTCTAAATGATACAATGCTTGTAATGGATTGAGAACCATGTTGTGTCTCTACGTGTCCTCAGGAGGAAATAGACTCTGTCTCTTCAAAGCGAAGCCCAGCCTTCTCCTCTCACCTGCATGAGGCTGAGCAGCGAATCAGAGCAGACAAACAGCTGGATAAGGTGTGTCCCTCTGAATCATGAGCTGTCTCTGGTCGTCTTTATATACAGTCACTGATCATTTTTATATAAACATGGGACGTAAACATGTAGAAATAAGTCACAGCTTCTCTCTCTTTGCAGCTGCACTTGGAGGCGGAGCTTCTGCAGGTAGTGAAGGAGAGTGCTGATGTCACACACACACGTTCCCTCGGTGAGTGTCCTGCTTCACACCTGATGTCCGTCCATCTGAAACATGTTCACGCCCTCGACTGGACTCATTATACCTCATGTTTGATCCCCCTTCTCAGCTGGCAGGTTCCAGATGTTGCAGATGTTGAGTGATCATCTCCAGCAACTGTTGAAGGAGCTGAACTATCTGAGACAGAGATTGACGAGACCGATGGGTCACACCCACCTGCCTGTTCACGCTCACCTGCACAGGTACGAGCACACGCCTCCACCATAACAACTAAAACCATGAGGAAACCAAGAGGGGGTTGTGTTCCAGG